TAATAAACGACAATGCCAGGAAAATTACTAAACAGCTAATTGCTGACCAGGAAGCATATTATTTTCAATATAGCTTTTAATATATCAAAAAAAAAAAAAAGGCTTGTGTACCTCTAACACCCCTATCATCCTGATTTTCACTCTCCTCCTATAACATCATATTAAAAGACACAACCTATGAAGCTTTTTTTTTGGAGGGGAAGCTTCTGGTATAAGCCTTGCAATTCACATTACATCTCTAAGGCATCAAAGGAAATCTCCCCATAAGGAATAAAAATTCAACAATGCTAGATGATACTCTTATTATAAAGTCAGCAAGGAACACTGAGATTTTAGTCCCAACAATTTAGCCCCAGACACTGCAGGCTGTAAGATAAGTTCCCCTATAGTTCCTCTTCCCACTCCTCCTCCCAAACAGATGGTCTAGTTCAAACTAATTAACTCAGGAAATGCTTAATTAATTCCTGTTTGACCATATACACCCTCTTTACATATTTCCCAAGGACTGAGAAGCAAGACTGAGGTCTTTGACACTACAAAGCACATACTCCAACCTTTCGGGATTTTCTTAGCTCTTTTCTGAAACTTAAACAATTTATCAACATAATCTGTGAACTCCAGGCACCTACAGCGTAGGATACTGCAGACAATAACCTAGAAATAGTCATGATATTGACAACATAAGAGAACTACAGTATTCTTCTATACTTAAAAAACCAAACCCAAAAAACCCAAAGCTGACAGCCCTTTCATGTACTAATGAAAAAGCGCAATCAAAAGAATCTGCTGAAATTGAAAGGCCACCAAGACAACTTCTGATCTACCTTGATTTCATTGAGAAAAGCTGTGTAATTTACAGTCTTAATGAAGAGAACAAGCTGTTTCAAAAATATAAAGTTTTTAAAGGCTACACATGCTCTGTGGCAAATGTGTAAGTAGAATTTAAAATTTATTAATACTGGTTAGGTGTGCCATTCGTACTGCATTTCAGCTGTAAGACAGTATTTGATGTGCCACTAACAGACATGATTCCCAGGAGGCGTAACTTTGATCAGCTTAACATTAAATAGTATGTTTTATCCCCAAAATAAAATAAAAATTAAGTAATTTCAAAGGGCTCATTTCCCATATGGAAAATTTATGTGATTTTTTTCAAAGTCCAAGAAAAAAGAAAATAAAAATACTGTTCATAAATGAAACATGCCTGGACAATTAATCTATATAAGCAAAAATCCCTGGCTGACCACAAACAGTGGTGTCAAGTCCTGCCAGGCAAAACAGTTTGCCTGTGGGGGTAGAGGTTGCCTGTTTGCTTCCCCTTGGGATAGGAAGAACCTACCCAACTTTTTCTCCTGAAGATCTGATTACTTCTGACAACTTATTACAACTGCCCTACCCTTCAAGAAATATAAGGCAGCGCTGAACTCTGTACTCTTAGAAAATATGTATCAAACTTCAGATCTTAATATGATTCACTACCAAGAAAAATAAGTCAAGCTACAGTTTATGTCAAATTAATTTTCCTTTTCCCACTTCTTCAACACCAAAAACATATTTAACAGGGTAAACCCTGTTAGGGGTAACGGGTTTAAATTGAAAGCGGGGAGGTTTAGATTGGCTATCAGAAAGAAATTCTTCACGGAGAGGGTGGTGAGGCACTGGAACAGGTTGCCCAGAGAAGCTGTGGATGCCCCATCCCTGGAAGTGTTCAAGGCCAGGCTGGATGAGGCTTTGAGCAACCTGGTAAGTAAGGGAGTTCATAAAATTTGCTTGCCATTTCTGCTCATACAGAATAAAAATTTATACTGCGATGTTCAAGCTGAACTTCATCGGAAATTAAGTTCAAGAATATTTCATTTAGGCAAGTAAAGGTCTTAGAGACCCAGTTCGTTTTTGCCTTCACCTTTAACACAAATGCACAAACACCTTCGTGGGCCTTTCACGGTATTTTCAGACAGCGGTTCAAGAGTGCCGCCTACAGAGCAAGAGGGGAAACTGCATGCCTATATATTTTAATCACTTCTGACTGTTAACATTAGCCAGCAGCCAGCCATGTCTTACCCCTTCGCATAACCATCACAGAGGACAGGTACCACAGTTCTACAGAAGGAAGCGGTGACCAATTAAACTGCCCTCCTCCAACATACATATAACTCATCCTTGATACTGCACAATATACTTGCAATTCTACTATGAAATCTCACCACCTCTGAGACAAATCTGGAATTAAAACTAGCTTGGCAAAAATGGAAGTTTTCACTTAATTAAGAAGTAAAAAAAACACCAAATTACAGGTTTGTCGTAGGACAAACTGCAGGACCTTGTTTCTTACAGCAAAAACTGGAATTTATCCTGATCAAGAAAGGGTGTAGGCTCTCGAGCATTTGCCAAGAAGGCGGGGGGCAGGAAATGTGATCACTTAACATTCCATTTGAAAGATTGCCCTTAAAACAACACATGTGCAACACTGCATGGTAAATCAGTTTACTAACAACTCAGAAGGAAGAACATGACATCCTACAGCATGAGCTCTGCTTGACTTAGGTGAAACAGAATCCCAGATCACATGCTATGGCTCATCATTCTACTGACTTAATTGTAAAGGTAGCAAAAGAAATACATCTTGTTTCATCCTAATGAAGGTTATTTTTATAAATATTAGAAGTGTTTTTATTTTATAAAATAAAAGCTGCAATTATAGGTTCTATTCTACTATAGCCTGAATTAAAAGATGTTTTAATGTTTAAAACGTGTGTCACTACATTATTACCCATTCTCACTCTCTGAGGACATTGACTGTGTCTCAGTGCCTGCTCTGCAGCCAGAAACACTCATAACATCCATACTCTTAAAAACTGGAAACTGTGTAGGCAATTAAGTGAGGTTATAAGCCAAGCCAACATTCACTGCCTCTCAGCAGAGATCATTATCTGAGAGCTACGCCAACCAGAATTCATCTACTTGAGGTTAACAGCATGTGTGAACAGAGAGAACCTCTGCAAACACCTCTCCATGTATTAACTGCTGTTTGGCTTGGTCACAACACAATTCTTCCTCCAAGCTTCAGAAGAGGGAATGGAAGACTACAGAATACATAACAGTAAGTCCAGTAAGAAACTGGCTGGTAAAATTAAATTGAGCTTCCTTGTTAAGTGGTGAAAACCAAAACCTGTGCCCCTGTCTCAAACCAATACAAACTGCAATTAGAAACTTATCAACAGGAAAAAGCCTTTCCCACAGTTGAGATTCATCACTGAGGTCAGAAACATGCCTTCACATTATCTCAGATGACATTTTTACTGTGGTTTGCAGACCTATTTGTTCGCCACTCATCAGTAGTTCTTAGTTCAACTTCTGAAAACAGAGAAAGGTGACTTATCCGGCAGTTAATAACAGAGGGTGGGACCTTCGACCAGTTGGAGCGAGTCCCAAGGAGGCCACAAAGATGCTCAGAGGGCTGGAGCACCTCTGCTATGGGGACAGGCTGAGAGAGTTGGGCTTGTACAGCCTGGAGAAGTGAAGGCTCCGGGGAGACCTTATAGCCCCTTCCAGTACCTGAAGGGGCTACAAGGAAGCTGGGGGGGGCTTTTTACAAGGGCCTGTAGTGACAGGACAAGGGGTAATGGGGTTAAACTGAAAGTGGGGAGATTTAGATTAGATATCAGGAAGAAGTTCTTCATGGAGAGGGTGGTGAGGCACTGGAACAAGTTGCCCAGAGAAGCTGTGGATGCCCCATCCCTGGAAGTGTTCAAAGCCAGGCTGGATGAGGCTTTGAGCAACCTGGTCTAGTGGAAGGGGTCCCTGCCCATGGCAGGGGGGGTGGAACTAGATGGTCTTTAAGGTCCCTTCCCACCCAAACCGTTCTATGATTCTCTGATTTTCTAACAGCTGAAGCATAGATGCCTACAAACAGTAGTGAAGCTGACCTGTAGACCAAAAACTACTAGAACACTGGAGAGGGAAAAAAAACATTAATTAAAAAAACCCCAAGCTTGGGACAACCTCACAGACTCTGCCTCCTGTCTCTGTCTGAAAGCCTTAATCTGCGTGGACAGAGCAAAGACGGAGAGAACTGCATCCTCATGCTACATGGTGTCAGGAGGGAGGTATGACAGAGCTGTAATTCATACTTGTAACTGGTAAGACTTAAGAGTGATAAACTAAAAATCACTACTTTTCTGTAATTAATAAAGCTGTCCATCCCCATGAGTTCTTTCAGAACATCCTTTTTCCTCCTCACCACTTAAGCTGTTTTTTTTTCCTTCCACCTTATACAGCCATCACCAATCTGCAATCACTTTGTTGTATTTATGTTTTCTCTCAGCATTCCTTAGTGCTCCTCAAACTTCAGTAAGATTGCACTGATTTCTTCAATCCCTTCCATACATCTCTCCTTTGAGACAGTGCACTGACAACCCCTCCAGCAAAATATCAGCACTTTCACTAAACTCTAGTAATCTACACATCTACCACTTCTTGTTGCTGTTGTAGAGCATTGGTCTCCATTGCCTCATCTGTAGTCATTTATTTGTTCTCTTGAGTAAAACCGGAAAGGGAAGAAGGAAAGTATCCACCCTTTTGTGCTAAGAAGGAAGATCCTGTCACAACTGGCTTATGGTCTGTGGCAGAGGCCTCTTTCTTTCATTTCCACAAACTGCACGAAATTATGCCTGAAGTTCTCTTCTTTAGGTCTCAGTTTTTCTTCTTCGTAAAATTTATCTCCAACCACTTCTGCATATTCTGTAACTTTTTAATCTACTTTATATCTATTTTTATCACTTGACCTCCTTTGCTGTTATTTTAACATTAGAAAATGCATCTTCGGCTACTCCAGTGTTTCTTAAACACTGTGTTTATAAATAAAGGATAAATTCAAAACACTGCACTTCTGAAGCTCACAGGAAAAAAAAATTGCAAGTGAAACAGACCACAGAGCTCTAGAACTAGCACAACACAAATATGAAATAAAGCATAAATGACAACATTAAATTGAAAGTTACCCTGCTTGTGGGTTCACCATTCCCAGTGAGTTTTTATGAGCTGGTGATAATGTCTGAATTTTGCTCCCACTGGATCCAGATGAAGACAGTGCTTTACTTGCAGAGGCACCTTACAGTTGAAAGCAAGCATGGAAATATATGAAAACGCAAGGTTTTGCTGCTGGAATGATATAATTAATTATATATTTTTAAATTGTAAAATTCAAAGTTATTTTTGGAAATATCAAGATATCAACAAGTGTCAAAATAGTAAGAAAAAGCAAGTATGTTTCCAGAAACTTACAAAAATATGCGATTGAGACATAATGTTCTATCCTAATAAAGAACATTGGATCTCAATTACTTTTTTCAGAAAGAAAAATGAAAGAAAAGTCTAGAAAGTCAAAAGTATGCACAGCATGTCTCATATCTGAAATTAGAGTAAGACCCGTGTTTGCATAATTATAATATACATGACTTGACTATATTTTCACCGATTCACAATTGTATTCAGAATACAAATTAGCTACAGAATTAAGCAACAGAAAAATCTCGGGTGAGAGATCAGTATTCAGTACAATTACGCATTACTATACAGATTGATTTTGCAGGTTCAATTCAGAAAGAAACTAAGTTGACCTGATATATACAACAGAAGAGAATCCTACGTGCTTGAGTCTTGCTGGATAGATGCCACTCGATGTCCCTTCCAACTTTACTGTAAATAAGCTTTTACAAACCGCTACATCAATTTCAACGATAAAGCCATCATATATGTAAGGTAAATATCAGGTCATAAAAGCATTCATTAAGAAAAGTATCATGGAAAACTGACACCATATCATCCAATCATGTAACACTGAACTCCTCCTATGTATTTTTTTTACTTTGTCAGTTTAAATCACTGGACAATGCTGCAGAAATCCTTCCAGCATTCAAATTATACTGATTTTATTGTGCAGTTTGAGAACTAACATTTAGAAGGAAATGGAAAATTCGTAACATTCATTTCATACCTACAACAGTTTTGCTAACACCACTTGGCTGTGGTAAGCGTGATGATGATGGTGTTGACCCCACAGAAGGCATCTTCTTAACTGGAGCAGGTTTGTACTGTAACAAAATACAACCTAGAAATTTAAGCAATTAAATCAAACCGTCTATATAACACCATTAGGTAGTTATCTCAGGTACTGGGGGAAAACCAGACAATGTTTATCTAACTAGGTAAACTGTTTCTGGTATGGGATCATGCAAATGGTTTCCGCTAGTCTACTTTCTTACCCATACAGATGATACCAGCAGGACAGATTATCTAACTCAATGGGGGTTTGTTTTTTTTGTTAACTGCATGTCTTTGTGTATTTTCTGCTTTTCTGTAGATTTTCTCATGTTTTCCCATTGCTGTCTCATGACTTTAAAAAGAATAATGTTAATCTTAACTGGTAACGAGGTGATATTCAAGGGCAGGATCATTTTTATCTTTCAAACCTTACTTTCACCTGTGTGCTACAGACCAGTCCCAGCACTAATTCAGAATACAGTGCAAGATCACAAAGTTAACTGCTTTTGTCTGTCGAACCCTCTACAGCTTCTTCCAGAAAAAAAGAGCATTACCACCGAACACACATACACTTTAATCCTTCATTTGTTTTCATGGTAAGTTAACTACTGCAGCTCTTACCTTAATACACCTGAATTCCTCTAAGCCTCTAATTAGCCAAAATACTGCTGTTGGTCGAACTGTAGTCATGTACCTTTATCCACTGAAGGAACAGTCTTGAATTGGATTTGGAAGACTTGCACAACAGAAATTCGACTTTCTTTACAAATACTGCATCTCTACTTCCTGCTGCTACCCTTACCTGTCATTTTCACAAACCTCTGAATTACATTTATGACTGGTTTTGGCTTGGCAACTGCTGCCAAGCAGTTTATGAATCTGATCTATGAACCTCTGATTTATGAACATCTGATTTATGATCCTCTGCAACTCTTGTAAGAAAGCAAAAACGTCTTCCATGCTTAGTGTCTAATTTCAGTCTACTGCAAATAATAGAACTACAGAATAAAACCATTAATTCCATTTAGGAGCAACACGCTATTTAACAAGCCTTATCTGATGCTGAATGCAAGCTGCAAGTTAAGAAAAATGTTGCAGTTCACCTGTGTTCGAGTAGGAAGCTTCCCTTTGGTATCAGCTGCCAACTTCCCCTTATTAGTAATACGTGCTGCTTGTTCCTTACAGAAATTGATGTGTCTGTCAGCTGCATTTTCATTAAATCTCCTCTGACAATACGGGCACTGAATGTAGTCTTAAAAACATAAAAACTTAATATTAATAATGTGCTTTAAAAAATACAGTTTTAAAGTCTTTTAAAAACCAGTCCCACCCCCAGAGAAAACTGAGACCTCTTGAATCTGAAAACTAAATACAGATTGCTGGGGAGAAGAATATTGTTCACATGTAACACAAAAAATGTTTCTTGTTTGATGGGTAAGAATGAGAAGGGAGGTTGAGGATCCGAAATAACCTAAGCAAAATCAGAAACACTTTCAGAGATCCTGTTCAGCAGAGAAAGTGTCTGAAGAGGTATATAGACATAGCAGGGATATCAGCTGTAAGGAAGTAAAGAAGAGAAGAGGTTAAAGAAACAAACAAAATCAAACACAGTTCATTTTGTTCAAGTTATGAAAATGCATTAAAATCTTCAGTCAACTTCAGCCAAAATTAAGAGGTATCTATAGAGACATGCAAAACAGGGTAATTGGCTGCTGTATTATTTTTCAAGATCTATTTAGTCACATTACAAACAGTATTACTTGCAGTAAATATTCTCTGGTGAAAAATATTCATTGATGAAAAAACAGAAAGGCTATGTAAATGTTTAAAACACAAAAAGATCCCTCATCTGTATGCTGGAAATATACCCCTTAAAATACATTGCCCTTGGAAAGTAAAACATCTGACTGTGGTTTCAGAAAGACATTGTAGTGTCTACAGATACGGACGCTGAATTCCCCAGATTACAGTATTCAAAACTATGTAAACATCAACTTCAGAAGTGCTGGACACTGGCGAAGCAGGTTAAATTAGTATGTGCCTGGATGATTATAGAAATGTATTGAATAAAATGAGATTTTCAACAGTCACTGCCTCCAAGATTACAGTTAGATCTTATACAATCCAAAACAAAATTTGGACTACGCATCACTACTGCTAATGCAGCAGATCTGGCTTAAGTAGTTATCCCTTTAAATTAACAATTTTGAGTAAGTCAAATGATGTAGTGGCGACAAAACCATGAACTGTGACCCAAGAAGTGTGAGCAAAGGACACAGGAAGGACACAGGAATACTACAGAGAAGTGACAGCATGGGAATCTTAGGTGATATAACATTTATTTATTTATTGATTTATAAACTCCACTACTGGCGGAACATTCAGACATAAACTATACCTTAAGAGACAGAAACTCAGCAGAACTACTGTAACATCTATGTAGTCAAACCAAGATAGGCCCAAACAAAGTTTTTTTTAAAAAAGATAAAAGAAGCAAAAAGAGATTAATAAAAGCAGCTATGGAAGCCCCTGGATAATAAAAGACATTTCTAGCTGGTGTACAGCTCAGTTCCCACAGAAGACTTTCAAAGCCAGTAAAGTAAATTAAATAGATCTGACTGTACACGACTGATGTATATGCTTCTAAGGATCAGGAATCTTACTTTCATCCTTTTATAAAACGCTTGGCACCAGCCAGCCACCTGGCTATCTGGAAGTATTGTTTGTACTGTCCAGAACTGTTAGGATTCAATGTGAGCTTTACAAAATACAACCTAAACGAAGTAAGAGGGCAGTACACATACGCAGTCAAGTTCAATGCAAATGGGGTGACTTAAGGTTCTTCTTAAGGTCATGAGGGTAATTCCACACGTCTAAGGAAGAAGTAGAACAGGAGGTTGATGAACAAACAACACTGTCTGCAAACTCAAACCATGAAATTAAGGAGGAAATGTTAACATAGAACTCTTTCCTTTTAAAGGAAAAAGACTGTAGGGGGACTTTTTACAAGGGCATGTAGCAATTGGACAAGAGGTAACAGGTTTAAATTGAAAGCAGGTAGATTCAATTAGATATCAGGAAGAAATTCTTCACAGAGAGGGTGGTGAGGCACTACAGGTTGCCCAGAGAAGCTGTGGATGCCCCATCCCTGGAAGTGTTCAAGGCCAGGCTGGATGAGGCTTTGAGCAACCTGGTCTAGTGGAAGGTGTCCCTGCCCATGGCAGGGGGATTGGAACTAGGTGATCTTTGAGGTCCTTCCAACCCAAACCATCCTATGATTCTATAACTACCAGCTAGTTAGAAATAAGCATGCCAGAGACAGAGTTGAGTAGGAGAGAATGGACATGCCCCATGATACCATGCATAATTCTCCCTCTCCTGCACATGAAGTGGAAAAGGAGCAATAGTGCTGACCCTGCTCTAGTTTTGTTCCGTTCTATTTGTGAGAATTCACTGATCAATTCATGCATCTTCTCTTTATTCCTGGTTCCCTCTCCCTAAGTCTTACCTGCTGCAGCAGGAGGAAGCCAGGAGACTAAAAGCAGTAAGACTCCGCTTGGAAAAAGTGAAAAACAGAAGGAAGACAAACAGAAGCACAGTATCTTTCTCTTCCCTTTACCTCCCATCTGCTTTCAAGCAGGCCAAACAGAGTTACTTCCTTTGCTTCAAACTCATTTGTGGCCTCTGGAACCAAGGGAGCACCTTTTTAGTAGCTTTCCCAAGCTAGATTTACTTCTGGACTCTTCTAATTCAGAACCTACACAACTAGATTGTTAACAGTCCTTTCCATGATCGAGCCTTATGCTTCTTATCCACCGCATTAGCTGTTGGTTTTACTTTACTTCAAAATGCATATGGCATTTTAAGACCGTGTACTGAATGCTGAATAATACGACTTCACTTCTTACCATGAATGCACAATTACAATCCTAATAATATTAGGCTAACACATTTCCTGCTGGGAAACAAGGTAGGAAACACTCACATCCTCACTTGACCATAGACAGCAGAAGCAAACAGATGATTTTTTCTGTTTTACCCAATCTTTCTGAAAATAGCCACTGACATTCACAGAGTGGAAGGGGTTGGAAGGGACCTCTAGAGATCATCTAATCCAACCCCCCTGCCAGAGCAGGATCACCTAGAGTAGATCACGCAGGAACAAGTCCAGGTGGCTTTTGAAAATCTCCAGAGGTGATCAAATGATTTAGCTCTTAGGACAAGAGGAAGAAGTATATTCTCCAATCTATTATCACATCACAGAAGTTAACTGATAAGCATATTTCCATCTCACTCACATCAGATTGCTTCAACACTTTACCCAGTCTTGGTTCTGAATGCACCCCAGGACTGTCACTCCCTTGTTAACACAAATCCCACACATCTCACCCAAAACACAAGAACTCCCACCACAAGAGGAATGTTCGCATGCACACTACAGCATATCCTGCAGGCATGAACCTAAACGTGGAATCAGCAAGAAACGGGAGAAACTACACTTGAAGAACATCCTGATGCATATTCTGACAACATAAATAGCTTGTGGGTGTCCAGCATCAGCAGCCAATTAAAAATGTAGCCTGCTCTTTCTCAGCAGTTTCCCTGTTGCGGGTAAAAAGAAGGTGGTGTAACAATTTAGCAAGTTTCAAACTGGCCACAACTACCTTTTGATGCATTAAGAACAAAGTCATGGGCTTTGAAAGCTACACAGGATGCTAGCTGGCCAGACGCACTGCCACAAACCAGCATCTCCACAGGGACACTCAGATAGTCATCCTCAAGATCTTACAAATGTCATATTCCAAATTCCTTTCCAATTCAAATTTTGACACATTAAGTTTAAATAAAATAACCAAAGAACTCAATTGCTTTACGTACCAGGGTCATAGGATGGCGGAGGTGGTGGTGGGAGTTTTCCACCGTCTTTAAGATTAAGTCCTTTGGCTGCTCGTATAGTTGCTATAAATTCCTCGTGCTTTCGTCTCCAGTTGGAAGGTTTTTTGGGTGGTTCTGGCTAAGAAGCCAAAAAAAACCAGCTTTATATGTTTGAAGCTCTTACTTCAAGCTAAGTACGCGCCTTATTTTAGTAGACAACATTATGGTTAGATTTCTTCCCGATCCTAGTTGATCAAATTATCACAAATTGCCAGCAGAAATAAGTCTTATTATAATGCATACAGAGTTTGCCTAAAATGTCCCTAAGTGGAATAAATTCTAACATACCCGTGGCTTAAGAGGTTTTACTGTGGGAATGTCAGTTCCTTCTGCTCTCTGTCGGCTGGAATCAAATGTCTTCCTTTTCTTGGCAGAAGTTTTTTGGCAAATAGGTCCATGCTTTTTCTACAAGCAGAAGAAAAACAACAGAAGTATATAGAACTCAGTTTTGAAAACCTAAGTTATTATCATGTTATTTCGCTCTTTCTCAATATGCTAATCAGCAAACAAGGCCCAACTCTTGATGAATTAACATCAGATTGCATTTACTCAGTGTGCCAGCCGTTACTTTTAGAAGAGAACTATGGGAATTCACAAATACATATACATGGTCACAAAAACTTGGGTGATGAAGAAAAATCGAAAGGCAACTGTATTTGCTCCTTACAAATACAGAATTTATAGTAGGTAAGCAGCATTTGCATTGAGCAGCAAGACAAATCAGAGGTGGCTGAAATCCATACTCAAAGTACAGACCAATTTCTATTAAGGCTGGTGAACATCGCATATTGACTATGGCTAACAAAATACTTCATTTACTAGCTGAGACTGCACAATGCTAGGGCTTACATCTGCAGAGGCAAGGAATGATTCTGTGACCCTAGAGAAGATGCTTATAGAAGCATGTATTTTCAGAAAGTGATCAGATGGTGAAATAAAATTGATCTCCTTCCTTAAAGTTTCAAAAATGAGACAACTGCAATCAATAATTATTTGGGAGAAGAAAAACCCCAAACACAAAAAAAAAACCCACTAAAACCAAGCACCTAGATCTACTTTATTTAGCTACAGTGACCATTGCTGAACTCTCTTATCAACTGATCAGATCTAAAAGCCAACAGTGCTCATGCTACTTACCAGTGCAGCTGGAAAGAAAGTCCTTCCACAAATCCTACATGGCAACAGATCTCCAGTTTGCACTGTAACCTCACCTTAAAAAAAAAAAAATGTATCTTTGTAAGAAAATTTGTTTAAATTTGTGATAAAAATTCCTTCCTAGCCAAACTCGCATACTTAATAACAACATCTGTCACTGTAAAAGTATATATTGTTTGAACTGGCAGCCATGGTTCCCACTGAAAACCCTTTTTTCCAAACCTAAAGATTAAAATTGAGTAAAATTTCTAGTACCAATATATAACTATTAGATCTATCTCTGTCTTTTTTAATTACTTGATTGAAATTCATCATCACTATGTAACTATGTATAATGTATTAATTGTATGAATACACTACAGAGCACAATCCACTTTAAGAATCACAAATCACATGAAAAGTGTTTGGCAGTTGAAAACATTTATGTCCATATCTTTTAATTTATATGCATTTTTCCAGGCAGACATGAACAGGCAGACCAGGACTGTACTGAGAGTAACTGAGTTTTACAACTGAAGCCATAATCAAACTTTTGTGTCACCTACATGTTTGTGTGTTTAGAGGTACGCAAGTAGGGAAAAGTAGGAAAAATAGAAAATGTGTAGATAAGTCTTGTTTTTCTTCTATTCTTTCATCTGAATTATACTTGCATGTTATCAACATTGACTTACCTTTTATTGTTACCTGTATTTTTTCAGTCTCTATGTTAAAAAAAATGATGTCTGAAAATTTTTCCATATCTCTGTTTTCTTAAACCACATTTTAAACCACAAGCCTGAGCATAACATTAGTCACAAGTCATGCATGCTGGTCATACACTGCTTAGATGGTTGGAACTTGCCCTCAACATTTTTCTCAAGGGTAAGTAGCAATGGTTGTAAGCTTTTCTCAGTTCTCCCCCACCAAAATGCTAGGCATGCCCTGATTTGTTTGTTTGTTTCATTATTTCATTATTCAGTGTCCTCAGCACCTTTAATAACACTAACAGACATCACTGCAAACTCCCTTCTGCTAAAAAGTTCAACCTTTTTTTGTCACATCCTTCTAACACAACCCTCAGCATTGCAAAAACAAGGGAGAGGTGCATTTCATGGAAATACAAAGCATCACTGTGTCTTTAAGAAATTAGCTGACATAAATCAGAATTAGTGATCCTGAAATCAGGTGTATACTATAAGATTAATGATTTGACTGAGAACAACCTAACTCTGGAATCCAAGCCTGTGGTTAAATTCACCATTAAAAGACGCAGACTCAATAGATGCTCACCTGATCGAGCAGTATTTACACTTGACATACCAATGCACAGGGGATGCCAATTAGCACTCACTGCAGCTACAGTTAGGGAGCTGGATTAAATTACAGCATTCCTACCCTCCTTTGCTGCTGGCAGGTACTCAGTCACGTTTGCCAAGTGCTGTTTCTACTGCCAACACCTCCTTCCCTTTAACACAAATCAATGACCCAAAACACAAAAGGAAGTTATTTTAAAAAAGGAAAGTTCCTTAAGTTTCAATGAAAACAGGAAGCCTACAGTCCTTTATATTTGCACACATCCCTTCGATTTCTTAATCATTCCTCTGTGATTTTCTTCACCTTTAAAGCAGAAAAAACACAAACAAAACTAAATGCACAAAAACTTAACATTTGTCTCTAGGAGTCCATGAGCCTGCCCTTACAGAAGGTTAGCAATGTCATAAACCTGAAATCTAATTTAAAAATGAAACATGGGAATAAAGTTGCAAAAGATGGAAGAGAGTTGAGGGTGTCTTTGTTTTTAAGGCATTAATGTATGATACCTAATGCAGTGAGTCATGGACTGACAATTTTGAACAAATTTAACAGAAATGGTAGTTTAATTGGGATGTATTTTTGGGGAGGAAGTTAAAAAAAAAGGAAATGATCAAGAAACAGAAGAAGGATTTTCTTGGCAAACAAGTCAGAGAATAGAAACAGAGTAAGATGGTGTCATGGAAATTTTCTTCAGCCTTTCTTATGTCTAGCAACAATCCAAGGATTACCATCACTTTGGTTATACAACTACTGAAGACCCAAGATCCAGCAGCCACACTTCTTTTTCCTTTTACCATCTTTAATACCACTAATCACCAGCATTTACATGCTTGCATTAAACATGAGTGAATATAGTTAACTTGGAAAATGACTGTTGCGGTTTAACTCCGGCCAGCAAAATACCACGAAGCTGCTCGCCCAGCTCTCCCCTCCCACCTTTCTCCAGTGGAGGGGGAGAAACAGAGGAAAAAGACAAGGATGCTCCAAAAATTAAGATAAGAACTATTTACTAATTGAATATAAATGAATAAAACATATATTAATATATAAAACCACTACTACTACTAAGTAATCAAAATAATATAAAATAAAACATATGATACAAGTGCTCACGACCTACTGACCAATACACAGCCAGGTCCCCAGTAGCGAGAGTCAGAGCCAGAGAGCCAGAGCCCAAGAGCGAACACAGCAGAGTTTGAGCAGGCCGCACGAGCGATAGCATGACTGGGAAAGCCAACTGACCCACCAACTCACTGATGAACAAGTAAGCAAAGGGGTTAGCAAAGCAGCTAACAAAGGAGTTAGTGAAGGAGTTAAGGAGCTAACGGAAGAGTTAGGGAGCCAGCAAAAGAGTGATGGCCCCCAAGCCCACTCCCCACTTATGTACTCAGCATGATGTACTATGGAATTAAATACCCCTTTGGTCAGTTTGGGTCAGCTGTCTGAACTGTGTGACCCCACACACTGCCTGTAGCAAGAGAGTTGGGAACACAGCTCAGTATCAGAAGCTGAGGAAGACCTTGAATTTGGTGCATAAGCACTCCCCAGCACCAGCTAAAAAGAACCTTATCAGTACTATTTTCAGGGTAAATCCAGGAACATAGCTTCATACCAGCCACCGTGAAGAAAGTTAACTCTTTCCTGACTAAAACCAGCACAGTCATACATAATTATTACTGTTTATCTAATCTAAACACACTAGGAAAATGAGAAATATGTACAAAAGGGTTATGTGAACACCAAAGAGAAAAAGTGGTATTTCAGTTGAAGTGATGACAAAACTATGACATACAGCTTTATACCCTACTCCTCTACTGTCTGCCTGAGACAAGGTCTCAAATGAAAACACAGAGTTCAACCTAGTAAAATGCCAGATGTCTGAATTAAACAACTAGACTGGAAATTTTATTATCAGCACCACAGTAATCTTGCCATTAGTGTTTCTAATCTATCTCTGTCAGAGCTCCTCTTCTAGCTACTGCCAGAGTACAACCACCTTTCAAATTATTTTTTTTCTACCTACACCTTTGTTGTTTCACACACTCCTTTTGAATATCGTCCCAGTCCAGTTAGCCCTACTTTCTGATCTTGAAGTTCAGTTGTAAAGTTTGGGCAGACTTCAAAGTCTGACAGCATAGCTGTACAGTCATTCTCTCCAATATGCTTTCAATACTCACAGATGAGTTCAGACTTCTTTGAAGCCTAATTTTCCAGGGAATCACCTTTTTCATTCCTCTTATGTCCAAATACAGCAACTGATTTAGAGTGTGAAGTGCAAGCTGCCAGTTCTCAGATTTATCTTTCTCAAGACAAGACGTGGACTCATAAATAGATACAAGTTTGATCTGACACAGTCACAAGCACAATGCTAGCTCTTGCTGTCCTGTCTACAAAGTAGGCAGCTGTGTAAAGAGACTCCACACCTAGAGGGAACTGAAGTCTTCAGTACTGCTGCACTGCTATTAATTGAAGTTATATTACAGCCTTCTCTTTTGAAGAGCTTTGTATACCCAAGTATGTATCTGCACTTAGATATCTAAGTGCAAGATGCTTCAAAGAAATACTACTGCACTTATTCTCATCAACAGTATTTTCTCATGTTGCCAAATCTGTCTGACTGCCCTTCAAAATCTTTTATATATCTTCAGCAGCGACAGTACTAAATGACATGGGCCAGACAACTGTGATAATTGGAACCATCAAGCCTCACTAAACTCAAATGTGCAGAAACACTGGTATGGTTTCCAGCCTTGAGACTCAGTACCTATTTGAAACCAGCAAGTGATCTACTACTGTTGAAAGTTGTCACTTGAAGAGTCTTTGCCAAATTCTTCTTGCTTTTAGCATAACTCCCCTCTCACCTCCAAAAGCAAGGTATTTCCATTTCCACCTATAGTTCCATATACTTCATGTACAAAAGAAGATGCAGTGCGTTCCCCACACTAACTGGAATACCTATCATCAAGCCACAGCATCTAGTTCTTTGGGGACTGTCAGTCTCTAACATATGTCCACTACTCAGTACTGACTGGGTTATAATCAACATATTAACTAACAATAGTCAGAAAAGACTGATGACAAATACTATAAACAAGAGTCACCTAAAAATTATACTGATGTAGTGACACAGGTAGGGAACACTTCTTAAAACAGCCAAATATAATTTAGAGCATGAATTTTAACAATTTTAAAGAGCATTAAATAATATAAGGAAAAGATGAATGTACAAAAATAAAAAGTATACCAATAACTGTTAAGTTTTGAAAGTTTTCATTATTTTGCCAAAAGGAAATCCAAAATGCAAGTGAAAGACAAACACACCATACTTCTTAACAACTGTCAGTACATGCCATACTTTGGTCAAGCCTGCTTGGTACCCAGCATGATTTACCCCGCCAAGCAAATCCCTCCTTGCCTACGCCATTCAGCAGTTTGCAGGAAAAGTTAAAAGAAAGGAAGAGGAAACCATAGTAAGCTCTTAGTATTCAACCATTCACATACTTTGAAATCTTTATGCAATTAGGTTATTCGCAATTGTATAACAAATAGCAAACCAATCTACTTCTATCTATCTACCACTAATTTTAGAGGAAAGCCTCTCCAATTCTCTTCTACTTCTGTATTGACAATGCAGTCTAATCTTATATAAACCTGACACTTCTGTTTCCAAAGGTAACAAAGAGCAGCATAAGTTCCATTCCTTTAGGCTGAAAAGATTAAGACTTTCATAGTACCTCTACATATTTTTATATCAGCTCTTCAGCCTGACAATGCAAGTGCATTATGTTTTTAAAAATTCCTGTTATTGCTTTGAACACGAGGCTGATGATGGTGAGTTTGGTATTACTTCCTTGAAAATAATATATCAAGGAGATTCCTATTGCCTCAAAGTGACAACCTGGAGGAGGATTCTGTGAAGACTTCTT